ATTCGACCCTTGACAATAACAAAATAGAATGATGATGGTAAAGCCTACATATACCTTATATGTTCATTATCACAGCAGTAAAAGCAGAAACAATGTAATAAAAATTCTATTTTGAGTTACATATTAAAGACATTTAAATCATTCTTTATATCAGGAAATGAAGGTGATGAAGACGACAGGTGGCAATGCCAGTCATCAACTCTAAATATATGCATACACTCACAACACCTGTCCTTGTTTGTATGTAATGATATTTTTGTGGAACATTCCTAGTTGAAAACTGAATTGGTGGTAAAAAGACATTAATGTCAGTATGTGCACATAAAGACCATGATGCATAATGCATGATGCAGGTAACCAAGCAACACTGTGGTGGGCAACCTAGCAACACAATGGCAGGCAACCTACATGTAGCAACACAGTGGTGGGCAACCTAGCAACACATTGGCAGGCAACCTAGCAACACTGGCAGGTAACATAGCAACACTGTGGTGGGCAACTTAACAACACTGTAGTGGGCAACCTAGCAACAATGTGGCAGGCAACCTAGCAACAATTTGGCAGGTAACCTAGCAACATTGTGGCAGGTAACCTAGCAACATTGCGGCAGGTAACCTAGCAACACTGCGGCAGGTAACCTAGCAACACTGCGGCAGGCAACCTAGCAACACTGTGGCACATGTACATTACATGACAAATATACAAATTAGACTCAGAAATTTAGAAATTGAAACAAGAATTACAAAAGATGATGGTTTACAGAACTATTCAGTCGGTCAACCAGACTAGGTATAAGTAAGTCTCAAAGATAACTTACATAAGCATGCATGTGATAATAAAAAGCAAATGGCTTGAATAATGTGACCTATACTGTTATATCCATGCAGTAATTTAATTGGTGATTTAAAATGGGCTACCTTTATAGACTGGAATAGTAAGAAGTCTAGGTAGACTTATATATGTGGGACCCCTTAGCTTACTAAAAAGAAACATTTACAACCAAAAAACCATGTAGAGCACATCCCTACCTATCCGAACCTCCCACAAAATGCCATCCCACTCCACCCCACCTCCCAAGTCTACCATTCAGTCATTTAATTGTTGATTTTTCATGTAATTCAGTTGTTGACTGATAATTTGCATTTTCTTCAAAATATTCTCTCTCACAAAGAGGCAATAAATGCAATGAACCATATTTTTATTTTTGAAAAATTAACAAATGTAAAATCATATATTTTACAAGCTTTATTAATTAATAATTATTGTTTTGCAATAATTATTATCATTTTTGAAAAAAACATCACATCAATGACTCAGAAAACACTTCTGTACAATTAAGTTCATTTGATTAAAGACTTTTGTAATTTAAGAATTGAAAGAAAGACAGATAAACGACAAAGAGGATTTTTTCTCTCATTGTACTTCGCCTTTAACATCCTTTACTAATATATTCAAGATGATCTATCAAACTGTGAATGAATACTAATTAATCAACTCGTCATGAGTAAAGCTGACTTAAGTCATTTTTAAGCACACAGTCAGTGTGAAAACATTCACTAGACAATATAGATAAAACATATTTTTAAAATATTATTAGTGTTGTGTTTCCTTTAAAAAAACAATGACAGAATATTATAACATACAAAATGTATACTATAATATATTGATTGCATATAGCTAAAAAAATTGAATTAAAATAGAATTTTTCAGAAAATAAAACTTTCCAGAATGTTATTTTTCTAATACAAGACCAAACAGGATAGAATTGAGTGTTTCATTGTCAGTTTTATACAGAGATGTAACATTGTCAACCGCTTCAATTTTGCAAGAGATAAAGTTTTGTAAATATCGCAAGTTTGTTTGAGTGTCACAACTTTAGCGGAATTTCTTCTTCAGGAACGGCATACAATCATCAAAACAACAGAAAATTCCTAGCAGCCAAAATTAAGTGGTTT